TTCTTTACCGTGTCATTAACCAATCGATGACGCTAAGGGAAAAAACCTGTTCATAAATAGAACGGAAATCTACCGATTAAGCTTACCTTGATGAGGGTCAGATCGTTGAACTTCTCCGAGACGACGAAGACACGGAAGTGTGACTCTGACCGCTTGGGGACATTGTGCTGGGGCGATTCGTTAATGACCTCCAGGAATACCGGCTTTAGCTCCGTGTTAAGTGCCTTTCGCATGGCAGACTCGATGGGCGGATACTGTCCCGCCTCCTGCGACATTGTGGCTCTGGGTAGGATCTGTCCTAAGCTGGTGATAGTGGGTGTCAGTTGATTCAGGTTTCTTAAGGAAACTCCAGTGAGTCGGCGAATAGTGAAATTTAACATGATTCCAGTATAGTTCGCACAGCTGTTTACAATTACATAAACAACTGCCAGACAGGGTTGCCAAGTGCAAGTGGAGAATCGACCAATCGATAACGATACGACTGCCACTATTCAAAAGACTGTTTTAACGGCTAATACAAAATATATTAAAATATCAAAATTACATTAGTTTACTTTCGTATACAGCTCTGCATTTAAGGACAAAAAAAAAACAACATATATCTTTTAAAAAACTTATCAAGTAGGGTATACAAAATGTTTAATAAAAGTAAATGTAATGTACACTAATGCTGCGTTCTCCCCTAAAAGTTTCAAATATAATACTATGCGCTAAAAATATTTTATTGGGGCCAGAATCAACAGTGAACGCAAAACACGCTCCAGAAATAAATCGTACATCTATGTATAAACAATCGAGCGAATATCAAATGTATAATCAAGTGAATAGAAAAACGTCTCCTTCACAGCGATTTCGGGATCAATAGTCAACCAGTTTCTTGAGCTTTGGCGGGGCGGAGATGACGACGCGTCCTCGATTCGAAGATCCGCCGCCACCGTGACCGTAATCCGCCTCACGATCACGGTCACGCACACGCATTCTTTCGTTCTGCTGCTGCTGCTGTTGTTGCTGCTGGTGCTGATGCTGCTGCCTGTACCGTTCCCGCTCGCGATTCCGCTCAATGCTGCGATCCCGCTGCCTCCGCCTCCTGGACTGACTCCTCCGGCTACGGGAACGGCGCCGATCCCGACTGCCACTGCGCCGTCGACTGTGGGAACGTCGCTTCCTCTCCACGCGACTTCCGCTTCGGGAGCGCGAACGCTGCCTCCGATTGTACTTTGGACTGGGTGTCCTTGTGCGTCTCCTTCTTTCCGTTCGGCTGCTGCTGCGTCTGCTGTGCTGTGTATCCGGCGGTGGCGACCGCTTACGACTGTGCGAACGGCTGCGACTGCGACGCGACGAGGACTTTGCCAGCTGGCTTTCCGATCCCACAGATTCCGCCTCGCTGCCCGAGAGCTTTCCACTCGAGGGCGTTCCGTACTTGTGACGCAGCTCACGGCGCCTGTGAATATGTAAATGTGAGAGGACCGCCAGAGCCAACCACATCCAGATACCCACCTTCTGCGCAGTTTCAGGGCCAGTTCACGCATCTCGTCCTCGCGCTCCTGCTGTTGCAGTCGTTCCCGTTCTGTCTTTTCGATTTCCGCACGCTTATCGGCTTTATCTGCAAAACAATTCAGTCTTAATTACCTAATTCAAGGGATTTAGGAAGGCGCTTGGTGAACATCACACTACACTCCAGTTGGCTTACATTGCCGGTTCAAAAGGTTCTGCATCTTTCTCTTAAGCCGCTCGCGCAGATTGGGCCGTCCGCCGCCACCAGAACTCGGATGTCCGGAGCCCTGTAAAAGCACATACTTATTTAGCAAGTCTCAGGATGTTGTTGTGGTTTTAAGGGAGCAGTGGGGGCCGTCGAAAGTGTGGTAGGCATTGGGGGTGGTCAGTGCGTCCATGATGGGCTGTCAGTCTAGGACTTCTACTCACTAACAATAGGAAAAAGCTAGCTTCGAAAACCGAAGCTCACAAATACCTGTGCAGACTTATAATTTGCATGATGCTTTCAAGTTCAATAGAATTAATTAATTTATCTAACTGGATTCGGATCAAAGATTTCTATATTAAAACTTGAAATATGTATCTGTAAGATGACCAAGCTGATTCTATTCGTGCCATTTTGCTTTGGTGAGAATTCAAATTTTTTAAAGACTTAACCCATGGGAACGAATCACGAAACTCCATTGCATAGCAACAGATTGAAGAAAAAGCAGACAAACCGGCCAGGAATTGCAATGGTTTTATATATACAATGGGGTGGTGAATGCATCCTTGATTGCATCGCAATCAACATTGCATTTCAACGCAACTGAATTGCTGCAGTGGTATTAAAAGGGGGACATAAAACAATGTATCAACAAATGGACATGCAGGGATGGTTGCTAGTCAGGTTTGGAACGAGAACACGGTGCTGCCTGCTTGGGTCCGAATGTTGCTCATTGGATTGGATGTCGGATAGCGGGAGGCTGAGACGTGAATTTTGTGGTGTACTCCAGTTGGGTGGGGCATGACACGCTTGGCTTTGCTTACTGACTTTGGTTTCGGTAGCAGAACTATATTTGCCTGTTTGATTACCCGTGCTGCTCGATGACGACATGGCCGGCTGTAGGGCGTGGGAACGCTCCGACCTGAAAGAGAGATTCCTTAATGAGAAAATGGTTACAATTACACGGATACAGGCGCTAGTCCTTGGCTGTTCTACTTTACCACTGTCTGCAGCACACAAACTTACGCAGTGTCCACTTCCATATCATCGGACTCCTCAGCTCGCTTTTCCAACTGTGGCTGTTGCTGCTCCTCGTTGTCGCTGCCTTCGCTGTTTTCCGCTCCCGACGACGATGAAGACGACGTGTCGTTGGCTCTTTTTCGGCCATAGTAGCGTTTCAGTGGCGGTGGTGGTGGCTCTACCACTTGTGGTTGCACAGCAGCGGGAGCGGAAGCTGTGATGGGTTGGCTTAGATTGAGCACTCGCGCAGGTATGGGATAGCTGATCATGGGCGGCGTTGCTTTGGCCTGCAGCTGCTGCTGATGCTGCTGCTGGAACATCTTTACCGCCGTTACAGTGGATGTAGTAGTAGTGGTGGTGGTATTTAGGCAATAACCACCCACTGTCGCCACTGGCGGAGGTGAGGTCTTCTTCTTAACCCGACTCCTTCGGCCGGAGCGGGATCGGGAGCGACTTCTTCGCCTGTATGAGCTGCCACTGGAGCTACGAGAGGAATAGGAGTAGCGCTTCCTAGAGCGCTTGTAGCTTGGACTGCGCGCCTTGTAGCGTTTCCAGGAACCGGAGCGCGATCGACTGCGAGACCTAGATCTGGATCTTGACATAGAGCGGGATCTAGATCTTGACCTGGATCTTGATCTGGAGTAGTACCTTCGCCGGCGACGAGAACGCGTCCTGCTCCTTCTGTGATAACTTCTACTGCGGCGACTTCTCCGACGACTGCCACTGCGACTCCTTGAGGGCGTGGCACTCCTAGAACGAGAGCGGGAGTGCGAGCGGGAACGGCGTCTGCTGCGCTTGGACGACTCATTCATCACTTTTAACTTGTCCAGATTATCTTTCACCTTTTGAGCATAGGAAACCGAGGATGCTGCGGCGGCGGCAATAGCCGCACCGCTGCTAGCATTGATGCACGATTCACCCAGGGTCAGACCGGGCTTCGTCAGGCTGATGGTGATCTTGGAGTGCGGCTGCATTTCGTCCTCGCCGCCAAACGAGGTAATATAGGTTATCTTCTCGGGACCTGCTTCCGCGGGCGAAGGCGATCGCGATTCGCTGTCCTCCTCCTTTTCCTTGTCACCGCCCTTACCACCACCCTTTTTGTCCTTGTCCTCCTTAGCCGCATAGCTTGGCGGACTGAATGGTCTATTGGCGATCCTCCTCTCCTTCTGGGCCCGACGCTCGCGTCTTGACTTGCGCCCGCTCAACAGCATCTTCTCCTGCTCCTCCTCGCGCGCAATGCGGAGGGCATCTGCCTCGTCAGCATCCTTAGTGAGGTGTGAGAAGAAGTCATTGCTTTTCATGCCGTAATTGCGCCCGCAGGCGTTAAGCTCGTGTGCTTGAGAGTTATCCAGCTTGCCGATGTCTATCGACACATCCATGTCGATGTCAGAATCGGACTCATCACTGCCTTCCCCCTTTTCCCCCTTCGCAGCAGCTGCCGCTCCACCAATGACAGCCGAACTGGCGGCTCCAAAGGGCTGAGGTCCAATAGTCGCTGCATCGCCGGTATCGTCGTAGGAGTAGCCAATTGTTGCTCCACCCGTCTTCTGCTTCTTCTTGGCCAGATTCCGCTCGGCCTCTAGTTGGGCATTGGCCCCGAACTGCTCCTCCAGGTAGAGTTGGTGCAAGAACTTATCCTCACTGACGTTGAGAAAGTCATTTTGCGCCAGGATGCGATAGCGCTCGTAGTTTAGCTGGCGCTCCTCGAGGCTCAGCTCAGAGTCACCATCCGCTCCCTCGGCGTTGGCCTTGTTCACGGTAGGGATGTGATCCAAATGGGCGCGTACATCGAAGCGGTCGATGAGGTTGTCCTGCTGACCCTGCCAAGGCACACTGCAAAAAGTACAAATCACTTAGCAAAAAACGTCGCCACGCAACGAGAAAGTAGAGGGTTTTAAGCTCCAAATGAATATCACTTGCATGATTGCGGCTCCATCGCCGGCGGCGGCCACCGCGGGATCCAAGTAGATCTTGCTACGCCGGCCATGCAGCTGCAGGAACTGGGTGGGATCGGCCTGGATTTTGTCGTAGAAGTACTGCCGCCGCTCCGCCCTCTTGCGGTAATCGACGATCAGGCCACGGATCTTGCGCTCCTGCTTTCTCGCCTCGTGCCACATCCTCTACTTGTGTTCCGTGCGATCGCCGGCTGGCAAATGACTTGGCTTCACAAGAAAAAGGACATTAGCACGCCCGGCAAAAATATGACCCTATACCAGCTAAACCAACGATATACAGTATGACCGTGCTGTAAAACCCCGAACTAGTGGTGGGAGATACAGCGACGTAATAACGATACAATGTACACTCAAACATCGATATATATAGAAGACGCTTGGCAGGACATTTTAAAAAATGAAAAAGCGGTTAAGTAGGTTAAGTATTGTCAGTGGCTTTGCCAATCGTAGTCTTATTATGGTTTTATTAAAAATAAGTGAACGGAATACTTGTTGGTTTTTGAATAGTTAAGCTCCAAAAAAAATACCCTCTATGCTTGGTTTTCTGAACCACTTTGAACGAACGAACGTTATTTCCGGTCGACACTGGCAACGCCGTGGAGCCTGCGCCCTTTTGTCGGTGGTGGAAACAACAAAAGGACAATAAATAACAAGCCAAACTGGAATGGGCCACAACACAACAATTGTCGCTCGCCGCCTTTTGCGGCATCGATTTTGAAGGGGAACACATCCACAGCCACAGGCACAGGCACAGCTACATATATCGAAAGGACACCCACGGGGATTTGCGAGTGCAAGGATCAAGGAGCAGGGAAGGGAAAGCGACGGCAGAACGAGTAAAGCTCGTTTTTCTGGAGCAGTTTTGATGTCCTCAGACAGACGCTACTATTTCGGAGCGGATTTGGAGGACAATGAGGGTGCCATTTGCAAGGACAACGACAACGATAACAACAACGAACAGGAAGTGGATAAAGACGATCCGGATGACTCGGAGTTCCTGCAGGATGTGCCCTACTCCTCGAGCAGCATTGACCGCAGCTCGGTGGGCTCCATTCCGTGGGCGGACGATGCCATCAAGAAGAACCTGCTGGACTGGGAGCGGGTGGAGCGGCTGATGAGCGGGGAGGATCCCTTGGCTGAGCTTCAGGAGCCGGAGTTGCGCAACGAGATCGCCGACTGGCACCGAAAGTTCCCCAGCCTGCTGGGCCGCAGGACTCGACCGCTGCGCCACCACAGCTTCGATAGTCAGACGCGGGAGGATATTGACTCGATTTCAAATCTCAGTCTGAACTCCCTGGACGACGACGATGATGAGGAGGCGGAGGATGGATTTCTCACACCCAAGGCAGAAGAACCAGAGCAGCCTCATCACCGCTCCTATTTGCGTCATAGCCAGAGGAAGCTGGTGGATCTACTGGACAGGGATTTGCGGGTCACCTCCGTTTCGGTTAGACTCCTCAAACGGCAGCGCAGCCAGCAGAACCAGCCCCAGCTGCCCATCTCAGCCACCACCCAATCCTCGGCTCGTCTGCGCATGCCGCCCATCCTAAATGTGCTGGACACCAACCGGCGCTTTCGGGGATTGCTCAACAACCGCAGTTTCGTTCAGCTAACCCAGGTGCAGCAGAAGGAGCAGCTGCAGCATCAAAACCAGGCCAAGTCTGCCGTGTTGCCACATCAAAGCCATCGATCATCCGCCTGGCACATGCCAATGGCCGCCAGTCGTTTCTTTAACAACAAAAACGCGGTAGTGCTGCCCTCGCTTAATCTGGGCAGACATAGCAGGGATTTGCTGGCCACCACCACGGCCACTTCGAGCCAGAGCAACTCCAGCGGCGGCGGCGGACACAACAGCCACGGCCACAGCAATAGTTCCTCCAACCGCTCCACGCTGCATCCGTTCGGAGCGACCAGCGTATCCAGCAATACACCATCCACTGGGCGCTCTATCTCGGCGGCAGTGCATCATCCGCGATCTGAATTTGCGCCCAGCAGCGCCTTTTACATACCCTACAGTGCCTCGAAATTCAAAGCCTTCAAGTAACCTCAAACAATAAAACTGATCTCAAAAGAGTGTTTTCTTACTATTCTTCTGCTTTAAAAGTGGTAAATTCTAGATATTGTAGGTATGATGATAGTCCTTTCAATGTTTTATATAAGTTCTGCTTGCCAAAGAACAGAGCATACAAAAATAACGCATTTTATCCTTTGTTTTAACGAATTAAAATTCCTATAAGACGAAAGTTCTCTAAAACTCCTGCAAGTGACGGCATATCCCACTAAAGACCCATATTATCCAGGCGCAGGCGTCCATCGTGTTCTGTGAGGTAGAGGGTGTCGGCTAAACATTGCTCTGTGATCAGCTCCTCCACGCGATCGTGCATCTGGAGAGGAATGTATAATAGATGTTAAGCTTCCTGGGAACAAATCAAGATATGTTACCCCCTTGGCTTTGTGCTCGACAAGCACATCGGGATACTTGAAGGCGGGTCCGAAGTTTACGCTGACCGTGGCACTTTTGTGTATCGAGATAGCCGGAAAATAGCTGCCGGCATAAATGTCTTCGAATGCCACTCCCTGAGATTGGCCGTTCTTAAAGAACTCGATGCGACTGCCCTGCAGGATGTGCAGATTCTTTAGGGTTTCTGTGATCTTGTCCTTATCCTCGTAGTACAGATGCGACTTGAACTTGACCAGGGGCTGTTGAATGTAAGAATGAATAGATTGAACAAGATTGCTAATTAGGGAGGGTCGATTTGTAAAGATACAATAATATGCAAATACAGGGTTAAGGCATTATATAGGCTAATTATCAAGTTGACCTACATCATTTTACAATTCAAAAGATATATCTGGTTTGATCAGAAAAGAGAAAAACAAGAATTTTGTAGGAAGATTAACGATCTGAGCCTACCCGATCTTTAAATGTGTTGGGCAGATAGTCGAGCGACGCCTCCTCTGGCAGTTCTATAAGGAATCCTAAGGTATCGCCTTCCACATAGGCCTCACTGTAGTGTTTGCCATGGCTCTCGGTAAACTTCGTGCCCTTGCGAGATCGCCAGGAATAACCGAACTTGTCGTATCCCAATGGAGCCTGCAAGTTACCGTACTCCCTGCCCCAACCAAGTCGCGTGGCAGCTCCCTCGGGCATTTCTTCGATGGTGATCTCAAAGTACCAGCATCCCCGGTTCACGGCTAGGAAAAAAGAATTGATTTAAATGTGATTTCTTTAGGGAGCTATAAATATGTATATAACGTTACAGTGTGTGGCTCGGACCATGCAATATCCACGTTCGCCCGTCACTGCCAGCCGATCCTCGCTTATTTTTAGCTGTGGTGCCCGATCGTGCAGCGCCAGGAGTACAGAGTGGGGCACCAGAGTGCGGTAAAGCCAGCCAGGAATGGGTTTACCCGCCCAGTCGGAGCTTTCGTCGAACTCCTGACGGAATGGCGCATGTGGATCCGGTTCGGCGAGTATGTAGCGATAGCCATCCTTGTTGAAGGGGTGCTCCAGTGGATAGCCATGTGGTGGCAGTTTTACATTGGCCGTAATATCGGAACTGGGCCGACCCTTCTTGCCTGTGGGTCCCGAATCCGTGCCAGGGAATTTCCTTTTCTGTCGATTGTTTTTGGAGAGGGTCGCTGGAAGCATGAGGGCAAAGCATTAGTTACAAATCCCATAAGTAAAATAATACAATACAATCAATAGTCCTTAAGACAGCATAACTAGTGCGTGATAGTGATAGAGGAGTATTCACTACGCTTGGAGTAAATCTTGGGGCGTATCTGCAATGCTCCCCAAAGAAGCTATTTCCAAGGAAATTCCTTCACCATGGAAATTGATTCTAGCTACATATGTAGGTGAGTGGGCAAAGTTCGAGGCGGTGATGTTTCCGGGCTTACACTCCTCGTCCGTAAAAGATGACGCCATGGCGGGAGGAATGAGCAGGAGCTGGAGCAGGAGCAGGTCGCAATGGAACTGAAGGAGCGGGGGTCTTGCAATTGCGTAGTGCTCAAAATCAAATCAGAATCAATTCCCCCGAAAGAGAATCACACACACACACACAAACGCACACTGACACACTGACGAAGTGTTCCCCAAGCGTAACTATTTGTTTGTAATGAATGAGCCAAGTTGAGCGCCTCTGCCAGCCCCACCCCACCCCACTTCGCCCCGCCCACAATCTGACTACGTGGGGCTCTCTCTTTTCTCTCCTTGCGCGTGTGTGTGTGTGCGAATCTGAAACTACGATCCGCATTGCGATTTCCAGTAGTTGTTGCTTTACTCTGCCAAACACTTGCGAAAGAGCATGCGAGAGGGAGCGGCGAAGTGTGCTTGTTTGTTTGCGGAGAGTGTGCTAGGCGCAAACGGCGATAAATAGGGAGAGCGAATAGGCAGCGAAATAGACGACACAAAAACCACTGTGCCAAAATCAGCTGGACGACCAGTGTTGCCAGTGTAATTTGCCCGCCTAAAGAAAATTCCTTTAGCTTTTCCCCCCGAGGGTTCGATAACACATGCGGTCAAGATTATAGCGCTATTTTGTAAACACAGTTACTTACATGATTATAAAATAGTAATACACTCACCTTGAGTATATCCATCGTCGGTGAGTCGCAGGGCGCCGCTCTTGCTCATGCTCTCGTAGTTGGGCTTGATGATCCGCAGATCCTGATGGAACAGTCCGTACATAGCGCCAAATTCTGCGTGCTCCTCGTAGGTGAACAGAGTCTGCACATCCTTAACCAAAGATCGCTGGACGGTGCTGTACCAGGATTGGGTGAGCCTGCGCGGCATGGTGGTCATGGCCTCCCAGTACTGTTCGATGTACGGTATGATCTCCTTGTCCTTGCTAAACTGTATCTGACGACGTCCGTCCCTGGAAGCCGCCTGCTGCATATTGGCAATGGCGCAGTGGCACATCTGGGATATGGCTGGCGATGGAGATTGTCATTACCAAGAGGGTTACGTCTGGCCGGCTTCTTTGCACTTACTTGCCTGACTCTTACGAAAGCTCTCCAATCCGCTGGCAGAGCAGTTTTTGCAGACGAACACATAGTTGGTGATGAAGGGCAGAAGTTTGCCCTTACCGAGTTGGTAAGAAACGCAGGTCTCGTGCACCCACCGAGCACAGGTGGCACAAAGCAGCTCCACAATGTTGAGATTGCGCTCCTTGCCGCTAAAAACAATCTTATCAATTGAGGGGCCGACCAATCAAAGGCCATACAACGAGCTCACCAGTAACAAACGCCGGCTACGGATCGCGTTTCCTGCGATTTATCCTCCTCCGCATTGAAATTCACTTCGGAGCTGGACTCTGTGGGTGAGCTGGTGTCCATTTGGCTGTCTTCCATGGCAATGATATAGATTTTCAGTCAACAAACAGCATGTAAACAAAAATTTGCGGCCTGCAAGAAATTCGGTGGCTGGCCAGAGTGACCGTTGGCTGGTAAACAAATGGTGTGTTTGCAAATACCAGAACGCCACCTATGAGCGATAACGATAGACGACGACAACATTTTGGGCACACAGCCTGACAACCCTGCCCCTGCCTCTTCGCTCCAACTCTGGCTCTTGCTTCGATTGTAATTGTATATATATACATATATATCCCTACCATATATATGTATGTCCGAGTGTAGAATTATCATTTTTTTGTTGCCGAAAAACAGTGTTCCGTGTTGAGAGGCGAGGGCGCCATCCTAAATGGCATTGCACGACCGCCGGGAGCGAGCCGAGCGACCAACGAAAAGCAAGAAGACCAAGTGCCCGCAACCGAGACCGAGACTCCGCCAGCGTATCCCAGACTCCGACTCCTCTACCTAGACGGCCAGGAGTCGTCGCCGCTGGCAAGGCGGCCCTAACCCCTGGAAGCTCCCGATTTGGTGTGCATCTAGTGGAGCACCATGTGCGAGGTGTGCGCCGACTTCCAGAATCTCCTGGAGCTGTGTAAGTAAAAAGTTCACCGCAAAAAAAAAAAAAAAAATTGACAAGAAAGACGAACACCGAAGCCCCTGCCCTGCTCACCTATGGTATTCCGAATTCCTTTTGCAGATGAGGTGCGCGTGGCCAGCTCGGATCTCAAATTCCAGCTGCTGCTGAAGAGCGAGATCGAGACCACCTTCAACTACATCCAGTCCTGGCCGCAGCGTCAGTGCATGTGCCTGTACCGGGACACCAAGAACTATGACCGCTTCAATCTGGTAGTGCAGTCGCTCATCTGTCTGACGGTGCAGCACCTAAAGCACATCGACCACTTGATCGACAACTACAAGCGACTAACGGCCAGTGCTGCCCAGGTGGTGGCCCAGGCCCAACAGCAGCGAGAGCAGCAGCGTGACGAGGCGTCAGCCCAGGCAGAGGGAAAGGATTCATCCGCACCAGCGGAAGAACCCAAGAAAGAGGAGCCATCTGGATCCTCAGGTGAGGAGGCTCAGGGCTCCGGCGATGGGCCAGCCAAAAAGCCGCCAGTTGGCCCCTGCACTCCCCCTCCTCCGCAAACAGCCAATTCGCAGCACAAATCCCACCTGCAGTACACAGAGGAGCCCTGGATCCTGCCCGAAGTAGAAAAGCTACTGGTGCTCGTCTCAAAGGTGTTCTTGCTCAACTTCCCGCTGTACATCGCCCACAAGCATGGCATGCACTCTCGGCTGGACGACCTGCAGGCTGAGGAGGCCCACCATCTGGCCCTCATCTGCGATCTTCACGACAACGACCTGCCCATCTATCTGCTGCGGAACGTGAGCCTGTTCTGCAACTCGGGCGGCTTTGGCGCCATGTCGCTGTGCTTCGAACACCCCGATCTGCCAGTGTCCACCGCTCACTCGATGACCGCTGCCGTCTCGAATGTGAAACTTTGGCTAAACTATCACTGTAATACCCAGCTCTTCGTGCCGCTGCGCAGTCGGATACTGCAGTACATGTGCAAGCTGTCGGATCAGAGCCTCCGATCTGCCGCCACCCGCGCGATGGCCGACTTTGTGTGGTCTTCTATGCGGGACCCGCTGGATGTGGCTGTCAACTTCGATACCGAAGGATTGGCACTGGCCTTTAAGTACTTCACA